TCTCTCTCTCTCTCTCTCTCTCTTCCTCTCCACCCTCCTCTCTCTCGCTCTCCCCCTCCCTCTCTTATGTCCAAGTTGGTGACTTGTATCTACAAGTCCCCACACCTTGGTGGCATCTCGTATCATTGAGTCCTTTTGACGTATGGTATCATAGCTCGCCGTCACACTAAAGCCCTTGGGGTGGCTTTTGGATAGATGGTCACTTTGGAATGTCATTATGAAGAAAATAATACTCCTGTTAAATACACCAACATGGGCGAGGCGTCTACATAATGAAAAGATCAATGCTCCCTTTCCTTAATTTGGGAACTTCACCGCAGTCAAATTCACCCAAGTGGCGTCAGTAGCCTAGTGGTTAGGCTACCGGACTCGTAATCGTGCGATAGCGGGTACGGGGGTTCGAGCCTCAGCTCGGTCTGACGTTGTGTCCTTGGGAAAGGCACTTTACACGAACTTCCCACTTGGCTCGGTCCTATCGGAGACGGACGTTAAACTAGGAGGTCCCGCCCCTTAAATAACCTAATAGTGTTGATAGGAGCGTTAAAGCCATACCATTTCACCAAATTCACCCGTAGACGTAGGCCTCATAAATCATACAAATAGGGATGAACACTGGGTACAACTTTCGACACTGTTCCATTTTCACATAAATACATGTACCCTGTTCAACCCTTTTGGGCCACTCTCATAAGCAGTCACAAGCACTTATTATGTAAGCTAGCAGTTAGAGACCAGTAGAGTCTACCTCAAAAAGGGGAGGCGGATTAACTCCTAATAATTTCATGACTGCTGTGGGCACTTGTTTGTTTTGTTTGTTTTTTCTCGACTTTTTACTAGTCAGGCCATAGCATGAATAAAGCATCGGCCCCTGGCCATGAAAGACTAGCTAAAACAGTTAGATTTGAAACTATATTGATAATGCATTGCCATTTCTCCTTCTCTACTTTCTGTTTTTGTGTTCACATATTTAGTTAAATTTACTTTTTTTTTAAATTTTGAGATCGTTATTCACACCGCACATTTAAAAATTATAATGACGTTTTTCCCAAAAGTGGGAATAAATAATAATTTTATTTAATCGATATTTCCTCTATTATTTTGGCGGGCGAGCGTGCAATATGAATTTAGGATTTGTTTTCATTTACACTCAGTGCTGCCACCTCGAATAAGACGTATGCTAATCTTGCTCCGGTTTGGGAAAACTTTTCGTGTGTGGCTTCATCTCTGTATTACAGTATATGCCTCTTTGTCTCACTTGGTCAAATATGCCTAGGGCAGCCTTCGCCCCTGTACACCAAGCTTCATTGCAAAGACCAGCAAAGTGTGCCACTGTTTGCTGTTTGGTTTTGATAGAACATGTATTGTTATGTTGTTATATAAGTACACGTATATATCATATGGCCTTCACACTCAGTAGCATCTGAAAATGATAACGTAGTAAGACTAAAAAGATACTGGACAAGATGACAACATGGCTGGGAGCAGCAAGAACAACAGACACCATGGCTGCAGCGCAGGACAGGGTGACGTGGAGGTCTATGATCACCCACGAGGTCGACAAGGCACCGGATGATGATGAGTAAGACTAAGAATAATTTTTTTAAAACAAAAAAAAAACTGACCTGCCGGAAGTATTTCCCCAGCGCCACTGAGCTTGCTCCATTCCCGCAGCAAACGTCTACAGCCAAATGGAAGTCGTTCCCAGAGTTGAAACAGAAGTCGAAAATCTTTTGGTAAATTGGACTTGTATACGTTGGTCGAAATTTGGAATACTGCAGCGCGATCTTTGGATTGGCGTACCGCTTTGTGGTTGCCACAGACGCAACGTTTGAGCAACAACCTAGGAGTGGATTGATCACTTGGGCAGACGTTTGGTTCAGTGTCGTTTTCCTCTTTGGATTATTTATACCACAGCCCGGAAAGAAAACTCTAATTGGACGACAGGACGATACCACGACGTGTCTACTATAGCCGATCATTTCCCTTTTTTTTGCTGCTCTTTTCCTCAGAGAATCACAAAATTATTTCCGATCTTTTTAATCTCTCCACTTTTGGTATAGGCTAATCTATAATGTTTTTGGGGTTGTTATTTTTGTTGCTGTTTTGATGTAATCCTGGTTTTGGTTATTAGCGAGTCCTGGTACTTGGTGTGATATAGACCTGATTTTTTGTTAATGTAGCCCTGGTTTTTTGTTTAATGTAGTCCTAGTTTTTGTTCTAGTAAAGTCCTGATTTTTGGTTGATGTAGTAGTCCTGGTTTTTTTGCTGTAATCCTGGTTTTTACTCTCCAACCGCAAGTGAAGCCCCGAGCCCTGGCTTTTCCTCCTCAGATGTTCAAACAAACGTGAAATACGCTGGAGCCTTGCAGTGATGGGAAAGGTGCCATCAGCGGCATCTATGATGATGAAAGTATCCTCTGGAGAAGGGAGAATTAAAGCTGTTCTAAATGTATTTTTTTTTCGAAAGTTATTTCAGACATGAAGTGAATAAGTTAGCAGCTTGCCGAAACTCTAAAATGTTATGTATAACAACTAGAAATTTCAACGT